GAACTTGCAGCCGCGTTAGTCTCATCTATATTTCGTCTTGTGTTTAAAAAAAAATGCTGTTCTATATTTTTTTGTAGCCTAACCAATTCGCCCTATTTGCATGTCTTCTGCCGTCCGTCCTCCCTTCCTTCTTTTGTCAATGCATGGGGCTGAATCTGCGCTTTCCCCCCTGTCCTCCCCCTTCTCCTACGCACACCTATGCTCTTAAAGGCCATTCCGCCATTCGCATTACACAGCACCCTGAAATCGATGTCGTTGTGACGTATAATGCCCGCTTTCGTTCGAAAATCCGATATTTGTACTCTGACAACTTACAATATCTGGGGCTTTACGTACCAATAAAACCACAATATGATTAGAAGGTGCACTGAAGTGGAGGAGAGCTCAGGACATATCGCGCATCTGGCGTCCTTTAACCCACGTGCACTAACATAGCATTTCGCCTGAATCGATATGAGTTCGCCTAGGCCGGCATCAAACCCACGAAGCCGGGCCAGCAGCCGTGCACCGCAACCACTTTACCCCGTAGGTGGACAATTAATAAACAAAAGACAGCAAGACGCAAGATATATACAGTAATATAAAAGACCTAACAGTGGCACCAGGGTGACACGGAAACTTACGACATTTCGAAAGGTTTTTTGTTTCCCGCCCATATATCGGACACAGTGAACGTGGGACTTGCGAGGTTGGCGGTATGCGTTTCAATCAAATCATCGTTGTTTCAAGGGTGCGAGCCCACAACTATAGTTGCTCTGGATCAATTTACAGGCGCGCCTATGAAGAGGCCTGGCGGCCTGCGATTACGCAAGGCGCATTGAGAAAGGATGAAACGTGCTCGGGTCATAGCCGGCAGCCGCTCTTATGTAGCAGCTCCTGTTCTAGCGCAATATCGTCGTCGCCATCTTTCGGACCTCGAGAATGGCGTAACCGTTCTCGAGGTCCGAAAGATGGCGACGACGACGAGGTCCATTATGCGAATTTTCTCTCTGCAAGAGCGTGTTAATTAACACTGGCATAGCAAGCATGGTGATTTTCCACACACACACACACACACACACACACACACACACACACACACACACACACACACACACATATATATATATATATATATATATATATATATATATATAATATATAATATATATATATATATATATATATATATATATATATATATATATGCTCACATACAAATTCACGCACGTACATAATACCCCCCCCCCCCCCGCCTGCCAAAATCAAATGCAAATTGCCCGATATGCCCCTATACATGTAAAGGTCTCAAAATTACAGTGAGGAAGTTCCGATTATACATAGAATAACCACAGTATTCCATTTCACACAACTTACCAAAACCAGTTTGATGTTTTGGGTCCCGGGAGAGTTACACATCATCGTACGTTAAATGTCAAAATGTGTAGGCTTCCGTAAACGTGGACGTTTTTTGTATGTGCAATATCTGTCCACAATTTGTAATGTAAGGCAAGAAAGAACGGAGCAACATTAGACTGCCGTTCATTTTATCCAGGTCCAAAGACGACAGTTGTGAAACAACTGTGCCTGTATACTTCGTGTTGCAGTCATTCAGGGCTGCGATTTACCCTCGTTATTACGAACACTGACATGGCGTATTATCGGTTATAATGAAATAAACAATAACTTTGATTGGTCATACTTCATTTTAATGGCGTTTATTCATGTTACGTGTGCTATTGGAACAGAATACAAGAGAGGCGCCGTGACATCATCTGTAACATTGAAACACTTAATTCGAGCGAACGTAAGAACTGGAAAGGAATAGAGCATAAAGTAAAATAAATCGTAAAAAGGCCCTGTCATATTCTTTCTTCATTAGAAATAGTTCCACGAAACTCGGTGTTCCATCGGACAAACACGCACTTCACTGGTTGCGCCACCGCCCGAACATCGTGAGTAGCAATTTTTTACCAACTGCGTATATGGTGGGTTTAGTGCCTTTTTGTATCTAGGATTTATGGGCAAGGCGGATTTCCAATTTTTCGCAGCCGACTTTTGCGGATATAACTAACAACGTATGCCGGATATAACTAATTTAAGGTCTCGCATCTACTTTGTTATAGCGGCGTTCGGGTGTATAAGCGTTTTGAAGCCCAGACTCCAGGGAAGAGGGCACCTCTTATATCTAAACGCGGGCGGCCATGCGCTGTTATTCTCTTCGCCGTTTTATTTCAAACGTTCTACTATAGGACACCTAAGCGAAATTTGAGTGTTACGTTCCGGACAGGTAAAGTCGCGTAAGTTGACCAGATGGCGGAGCCGTTTTGCTACCCTGATTTGGGATGGGGAAAATTGGTGTTGGAAATAAACCATTCCGATTGGGTCTGTATTGTGGTCACTTTTCTCCGTCGCGTTCCGTTTCGTTGATTTTGTTCGTAGTGGAGTTTACACAGGCCGGGGGACTGCAAGTAAGGCCCTTGCAGCTCTTTGAAAAACGCGCATGCTATTCAGTTGGAATGCCACCAAAAAGAATTCTATTAAAAAAATAATAAATGGTGAAAGTCAAAAAGAAACATCAGAATAACTATGAAGACTTTTATAAGGGGCATTTCGTGTAAAAGTGACTATACGATTAAGAGGCATGCACGCCGTGTTGCGCAGAGCTGTTAGTTGCGGGAAATCCCATACGAACGTCGCAAAGCGCGAACACACTATCGTGAAGCAACACTAAGTTGTACCTCGCACACGTCAGTGCACCTTCGTAACGCTGAACTTAGTCATTTACAAGCCACACACCCCGCTTCGCAAACAAGCCTGCAGAAAATGATCTCAACACATGGCAACGCCATCCGCAAATATCGATGGATCTCGGTAACCGGAGTATTTTGACCTCTTCTTTCAGCTTGGCCTAGGCGAGAAATTGAGAAATGGCTTGGTGCACAGTGGCGCGAGGGTATTCGGATCAGAGGATTTGATAAAACTTGCGCCGTCCACCCAGAGAAAAACAAATAAAAAACAGACACGCACGCACAGACTAAATAAATGTACCGGCACTCTTCTGCCATCCGGTGCAGCGAAATGAAGATTGTGATCGAAATATCTATCCATTCCGATGAGAACCAACCTGAAAACAGAAAACGCAATCGTCGAAATGGTTCATCTATTATTGCTTTATTGACAAGGAAGCGATACTTCTGCGCTGCGCCGACGTCCGACGAGAGATAACGACCAATCCAAAGTAATGAAGGCCGTCTCGAATAACACGTCGATACCATCTTAACTACGCAGCGTACCTCAGTGTAATATAAAGCCTATTCTTTTGCCGCTTTCTTTTTTCCGCTTGGTGTTCGCGTTAACTTACTGCATGTTGAGCGCGGCTTCATTTTATTGTTACTCACTGCTTTCAAATGGGGTCGATGGATTTCCGATCGTTCTAATCATTCATATCGTCTGCAAACTTGCATGTTTCAAACAAGTTTTATCCAGTCAGGCGTTGAAGTTTAGCACCTACTCGCTCGAGGCAACGCATCTCCTAACCACAAGTTTCGACGTCGGGTTGTTCACATAAATCAAGGGTTATATCGCAGTCAATCACGAGTCAAACAAGCACTAACTGCGTATGAAATGGACGTTTTATTTTTTTTATCTGCCGTTGCGCGAAGCTACTCATCAAGTTGTTAGTTCTTCCGGTGAATCAGCTTGTATCACTTTCAACGATGATACTTTCGGAACCGGTTGGCGTTCTGCTAGCACCTCTACTGGTGGGCGTCTCTCATAATGATACGGTGGTTTTGAGACATAACGCTCCGCATATATATATATATATATATATATATATATATATATATATATATATATATATATATATATATATATATATAAGAAAAGATGCAGAGTTATACAAAAAATGATGAGGTTTTACAGCGGCGTGCGTTGATTAGGATGAAGTTGTGATTACCCTACACGAGGAAATATAGATGAACGATACAAAGTTGATACATTATAATTGAACGGTGGTCAGAAAATCAAGCTCGGTAAAAAATAAGGTGAACCACAAAAGTTGCTTTGGAAATCGCAAGCGACACGTCCGTTCACTGTTTCATACCATCGATGTTACAGCCGCATGAATGCGCCAGTGTTGTCCTGTTTCTTTAGTTATTAGTGTTATGTACTCTTTTACAGTCATCCCAAAAAAAATGCCGCCATATCCACGAAGTGAATGATGATGAGTGGGCGAAGCTCCGGAGGTAAACCTGGTAAACCATGAATCCTCCGTACATTTTGCCCACTCGATTTTATTGCAACGCTCCCCCTAGCGTACGTCGCCGCACTATATCGAACGATGACACGCGCCATATGTGGCATCATTCCTATTTTATAACACCTCGCATCTTTCATAATCAACTACACGTACCGCCGTCTAGTTTATAACATCTTGCATCTTTTGGACGGACGGACGGACGGACGGACGGACGGACGGACGGACGGACTGACTGATGGATGGATGGATGGATGGATGGATGGATGGATGGATGGATGGATGGATGGATGGATGGATGGATGGACGGACGGATGGACGGATGGATATGGCTGTACCTTTTAGATCGGGCGGTGGCTAGCGTAATACTTAGAACTGAACGAGAGGTGGCTACATACAGGGGACGCACAGCCCACGCCTTAAGGAGCTTCGCTCCTAAAATGGCCAGTCTGGAACTGTTGTGATATTTCATCTAAGAACCAGCGCTTTTTTCTATTCCCTTCGTTGATGCTAGTCTATTCAGCGAGGTCTCGTCTTGGTAGTAGTAGGATCCTTCAGTACTTTGTGTCCCTCTCTGCTCTCTATCTTTCATCTCCCCCATCCCCTTCCCATGCGCAGGATAGCAAACCAGCTGCCTATAGGCTGGTTAACCTCCCTGCCGTTCTTCTCCTCCTATTGTCCTTCCTTTCTTGTGACAGAGCCCCCTGGCACATTTCGCACTAGTGCTAAGGACGAGAGAGTTGAAAGAGGCAACGCTTACCCTTCGAGGACCTGCTTGCCGCCTCTTAGCTTGCGCTCCACCTCCTCGTAGTCGCAGGAGATGTCGATCCGCCTGTCGGAGCTCTGCAGCACGTACGGATGATGCTGCACGACGATGCTGTTCAGGAATGTCCCGTTGCCCTGTGCGGATGCAGGCAAGACGGCGTGTAAGGGAAATATTGTGGTCATAGCAGGTAATGGCGTACTATAAGATCCCCTTGCAGATTATGGTACTTGCATACTCCTGAAAGCCATGATTTAAACGCTGACGCATATCCGCAAATGAATTATATTAGTAATATTAGAGACGTTTTCAAAGCGGCTCCCTGGGCACCACCCATAGTCATTTCTGGGCTACGCAAATTGGCGTGACCCCCCAAAAGTGCACATGCGAAGCTGTGACGGCCGCCTTTGTACTCCCGCGCGCAGCCAAACAAGGCGGCGTTTCTTTTTTTTTTTTTCTCCCTTCCCTGGAAAGGTGTATAAGCGCCCAACGCGCGAGCCCTTGTTTCGCTGCAGAACGTTGCAGAATTGTGTCCTAATGTATGTGGCAGGTTGGCAATCAACGACACCTATACCACCCTCTAGTTAGTCGCTCTGTCAGACTGTTCGACTTTAATCGTATTTTTCGTGCTTTTTGTGTGTGTGCGGTCGTTATGTATTGGTCAACAAGTCGTTTCGCAAGTTTTCACTGTGAATGTTAAAAAGATTTATTGCAGAAATTATCGCCGTGGCTGCGACTTCCGCGCTGTGATTTTAGATATTGTCACTTATAACCTATATGCATGGTTATGGAACCGGGTGAACGAAACAGGGGCACGTCGTACGTCGTACAAGAAGACAAGGTTGTCTTTTTTTTTTGCAATAACAATATGGACACGTCAGATTAGATAGCCGTCGGCGTCTGAGTGGTGATTTGTATGAATTTTTCGTTAATAGCATCTGTTCGTGTGTGACGTCTAACACGACGATGTAGCCTCTCAGAGTGCGCGCATAATCGAGATCACAGTAAGTGAGAAGCACCGCTTGCGTCTCCTACATAGCGAACGAAGATAGAGAAAAACGAGAAACAGCAGCCGAGGTGCGTACCAGGTTCTTGGTGCCGCACTGCCGTCCGTGCAGAGGAACCGTCAGCGCCACGTGACCCGTGTCGGTGACGGAAGACGAGAAACACTGGTGCGGGTGGCCCACGGCGTAGACTCGGCCGCGGAACGATGACGTCACCTGGATGATGGCCGTCATGGCGGTCGCCTCGCAGCGCATTTCCACTGTGAACGAGAAAAAGCGAGGACTGTAAGGACCCTGCTTTCACGGTCTGAAACAGATCGCTGTAATTAGAGTTAGTCATTTGGTTTCGTTCGCACTTGTGTCTAACTTCCTTCATCGATCAAAGGTTGGTTTTGCTTATTGTTTATTGCAGGTATTGTTATCTCTTATTTAGCGACCGCTGTGTCACTGTGCCTGCTTCTGCCCGCAGGTTTTTTTTCGCTCTCTCTCTTTCGATGTTTTAGTGGTTTGCTTCGAGTTCATGGGTAACTGTTGGACGTGCACCTTAGTGAGCTGTATTGCGAATTCAGCTAGAAGTGATGTTTTCCGATTATGGGAAGACTTTTAATGAAGAAATAGGACGCGTGGCGGCCCTCTGCAACCCACGTCATTATTGATCTGCTGACCCAAACGTGTCACCCTCTAGCATTTAAACCTGGAATGCTTTAGGCTGCTGGTGCCGGCCGCCTTCGTGCGACCTTGACCCGAAAGCAGTTATCTGGGCACTCCAACCGGAAACATCGTTGAATTCTGCCGAAAGCCCTCCAGATTATTCTAACGAGAACCCACGGGCAACCAGTAAGTAGTTAAGAAAAAATTGGGGACCTTTAAGCTTCTCTTCTAAGAGTTAAACGCGATAGCGATATTTCGTTCCTAGTGCGTGCTTCAAACTTCTAAAGAGATCAAAACTTCAAAAGGGAAACTTCAAAAAGGACCATCCCTTCAAGTCATCCTAAAGTGCGACTTTGAAGCCGCAAGTATCCTCTGGACACCGGGGCACGAATCCCTAGCGGGGAACGGAGCGGCGCCTGCCGCTGCCCGAGAGCCTATACAGCTGGCTTCTCCGCAGCGATACTCGGACTCCGGAAACGCAGAGGAGCCAATATCGAGAAAATACTCCGACGTACTTGCGCACTACCGGAAGCAACGCCGCCGCTATGCACCTGCTAACAAAATGTTGAGTAGAGAGCAAACCGTGATCTGGAGACAGCTACAGACAGGCACCTATATCTGCACGGTATACTATACACGCAATGTACCCCAGCAACTACAGCAGTAACTGTCAATATTGTCCGGACTCTGCAAGCACCCTGTACCACATGGTGTGGGGCTGTCGAAACAACTCGAGTCTCCCGCTCATGGATGACCGCAGCGTACGAAAAAATCCAGAAGACCAGTGGGAGGCGTTGCTGACGCCGGTAAAACCTGAAGACCAGCTCGCTCCGGCTGGTGAGTGCTCTTTGCGTCGGCGGCTATCCGTGGCTACCTGGAATGAGGAAGTGTCACAGAACGAGCGCTAAAAATGGGCGTGCCGCCAAATTCTTGCGATAACGCGCGAAAGAGACGCCGCGAGGTCAAAAGAAAAAAAGAAAACAAACATCCAAGGCTCCCCGGGGCGCGCGCTCTCCTCTCGGAAGCGTGGCTTCGCCGACGAACCTCCTCACCCCACAACGGCGGCCGAGCAAGCGCTGGAAAGTTCCAGAAGGAAATAGGCGTGGTCATACCGAGCTGAGTCATCTGCCGCGGAGGGCATTCCAACCGTCTCGCCCTCTTCTCAGCCTTCGCTGCGTATCGCGCCGACGAAATGATGAGAACCTTCTGGAATGTCGCGCGGAAGGTATTTAACCGAGCAGCGGAGATGAGAGATCAGGAGAAGACGGAAGTTAACGCCAGAGCGCGTAGGGATTCCGCCGTGTAGTCGGCGAAGGTTTTGTCCGTAGCGACAAAGCAGGAGATGAAGAGGATTTCCACCTGAGGGGTGAAGGCTCGAGCTACAGGCAAGAGCGTGTGTCTATCGAGCGAAGACGCGTGGCAACAGCTGCGTGTGTGAAGTCGACGTGTTTCCGGCGAAGAAGTTTGAAGCTTGGAGAGTGGCCAAGTGAAGACGTGAGGTTTCCTGGAAGAGAAACTTCGGCGAGGTTTCCTGGAAGAGAAACTTCGAGGGCTGCGGAACGACAACAACGCTGGACTTTGAGTGAGTGATTCTCGGACGAGTATCATCTAGACTTTCGTTCCAAGAACTTTGGACTGAATAGGTTTTCTATCTCTTTAGTCTTTAAGTGTCTTGGTTGTTCAATGCATGCGACTGCATTGTAGTGCGTATTGTTGTCTGTGTCCGTTGTTTCGAGTGTGGCTGATTGTACTGTGTAGTACGTTGTTTGATTGGTTTGATTGGTGACATATTGTATGCAACTATTGTGTAGTGTACATTTTTGTGTATTGTTTTCGATCTGCCTTTATTGAGAATATAATTTTGTTTGTTTATGAACTCTCGGCTCTGACTTGTTCTTTGGGCCACAGCCGGCGTCCGCTGGCGCGCCAAAAAGGACCACTTCTAAATTGTCCACGCTTTCGTGGTGCGGTTCGGGGGGGCCGATACTTCGGCCCTTGGAATTAGCCCGGCGATCGCCTCCCTTATTAACGGGACCTGTGTGTGACAGGAAGTCACCCACCTCTGGGCGAAGATAACACGCGCCTGGTCGCGAATAAAGTTTACTTCTCTCTCTATCGTACTTGAAACGCTTGCTTCCTGATTCCGGAATTGAGGAGATTAATTGAGGAGATTGGTTAAGGCACAGTCATTGAGGACGTTAGAAATTTCAACAGCAACTTCTTGTTGCCCGAAAATTGTTGTACTATGCTTTGTATTTACAATACTATTTCTGGAAGTATAGCCTGGCTTTTTCACACTGTATTTACTCTGGAAGGAATGTTTGTCAGATTGAAATTGCCGCATAATGTATGGAAGTTTGGACATCTTTAATATTTTACTCTTGGAATAGTACGTTTTGGTGCTTACCACACGTCCCAAGTTTTCTATTGCCCGAGGTGCACGGTTTTGAAGTATTTGAAGCGATTCTAAATTATACTGCGTCTACCAAACTGCAAGACAGTATGCTAAACGGGACTGTATTAGCGCGTCATAAATATGGTGCTTCACGCTTATTGGTAGCCAATACCGCGGCCTGTCTAACGCACCTATAGCGCGGGCAATACTTATTTTGAGAGAGTCCATATGTGGTGACCAGGAGGTATTCTTGAGGAACTCCCAGGAGTTTCACTGTGCTTCACTGCTGAATATTTACTTTTTTGAAATTGCAGGGACGATTATTCCTTTCCCTTCCATTTGATCATCTATTTCTCACTTTCTTTGCCTTTCTGCTTATCTTTGCCCCGCCACGGTGGTCTAGTGGCTAAGGTACTCGGCTGCTGACCCGCAGGTTGTGGGATCAAATCCCGGCTGTGGCGGCTGCATTTCCGATGGAGGCGGAAATGTTGTAGGTCCGTGTACTCAGATTTGGGTGCACGTTAAAGAACCCCAGGTGGTCGAAATTTCCGGAGCCCTCCACTATGGCGTCTCTCATAATCATATGGTGGTTTTGGGACGTCAAACCCCACATATCAAAATCATCTGCTTATCTTTCTCATTCTTTATACGCCATGATATACTCTATCACCTCCGTCTTACTCTCCTCCCTCTGCGCCTCGCTCTCACACTACTTCTCTATCTTTTTGCTATTCGATACTATACAAGGCTATCCTATTATCTTTCAGCGGGTCTGGACAGCCGAGTGATTAAAACGCTTGCTATCAGATCGTGGGTAATGCGGGCTTGAATCACATCGCCCCACGAAGAATTCTTTTCGCCACGTTTTTCTCTCTTCCTTTCCACTCCTTTTTTTCTCGTGGCCAGAAAGCGAGTACATTGACCTAGCTGTGGAAGCTGTCAATAGACGCCTCCACAGAAGCTAAAGTTGCGTGCGCACACAGCCCTTACCAGTGGCAACGCGGACTCAATGAGGCATTGAGGACCCGGATACCCTCTTTTGTTTCGCTCTCACGCACAAGCTTCTGAGTTCCAAGCACTGCATTCAAAGACTTTCTCAGCACTGCGAGCTGCTTCATCGATAGAATAAAGGGACAGATGTGCACTTTTGAAACAGCAACACTAAGGCTGACAAAAGCGGTCAAGGAACTTGCATGACTACTAGAAAGACGTGGTGCGAGCCTGAAATCTAGAAGAGCGAAGAAGAGACAAAGTTTTTCTTGCTTTTTTAAAGCTTGCGCCACGTCTTTCGAATAACCGCGATGCACCAGCTGACCCAACATAGTGTATTGTTGAACTTGCGTGGCTTTAGCTATCAAATAATGTAGCATATCATTTGAAAGACTGTTTCTCAGCTATCTAAAACCGAGAATCGTATTTTCTATATGTCTGAAGTTTGCAATCGAAGTTCACAGAGGTCAGAATGAGTCTAAACGGACTGCGTCATAGGCTGCGCCGTAAAATCTTCAAATGAGCTGGCAAGCTAGCAGGGCTTTGCGGCACGTTAACAGAATTACGACTGCAGTGTTCTATAGCTGCTCTTTACTACCTGAAAATGAATGTTGTTTTCCATATGACATTTGTCCGATGGCATTTGACCGGTAGAAAAGTCGCAACGAGGTTCCGTTCAGAACATGTTCACTCCGGCTCAGTGAGCATTCAGACCTGCGTCGCGTTGTGGCCACATGTTAAGATTGCGACTTAGTATCAACCGAACTTCAAGCGAACATCGACTTTCGGTTACGGGAGTGCCAGCCAAATCAGTGGCCTGAGAAGGAAAAAAAAAAAAACGAAAGAACATTTGCATGTAGTAGAGCTCTATCTTTTGAAAATTTTTGCGAGGTCCACGATGACAATGAATGCATTTGTCATCTTGAGATGCGTTTGTCTAAAAGTTTTGAAGCAACCTTAGATAGCTTTAGTTTCGTAACATTATTGCATGTTTTATACACATGACGAAGAAAAGTTCTGAAAATGCCTGTCATCTAACCGGAACAAACACGAAGTGTTTTTTTGGGATGAGATATGCTCGCAGTGAAATTCCCTGATGGCGTCGTTGGCGGTGCGATTTCGGTTGCCGTAAGATATATCCGGAAATAAAATTCTCTTAAACCAGTCTGTACTGCCATCATTGTTATTGTGTGTTTAAAAAGAAAATGTTCTGTTGAATGTTGTTGACGTTTGTGACAATAAAGTTTTCTAAACAAGATGGTTCATCAGTGCTTCGTATTAAGGGATGGATATCTGCTCTCCCACAGTTGAGTACGAAGTGCTCAAAATCGTTACACTTTTTCGAAACACACATAGCTCCAATGACAGCCTTCCAAAGCTGTTTATTTAGCACGGCCGCATCAAGTGTGAGACCCATTGGACGGATTTATGCTGTCCAATAATAGAGTACCAAGTACACTAAATCTTTAAGCACATTTTCTGAGCACACATTGCTTATGCCCAATTGAATGTGACGCAATATACTTTCCCTTGATTACTTCTAAACCATCCTGAGTTGCAAGACGAGACAGTATATCTTCTCTCTCGCCTACACAATCCTTCCTTCAATCAGTGTCTCCTCCTCGTGACTTATTTTTCGTCACATAACGCCTTTTTTTACTACACGCTGGTATCTCTGCTTGCGCAGTCCCAAACACAGAAAACGAAGTGAAATCAGTTTATAGCGCACGATAGTCATGCAGTATAAGGCAGAACTTGCATGCGGCTGCGTAGTAAAGCAGACTGCGTAACGATTCACAACAGATATTTTTCGTCAATGAGGGCTTATTTCGTCGTGACGACACAGTAACAAACCGCTGACGTCGCTAATTGTGCCTCGAGAACGGGAAACGTCGAGAGAGAGAGAACAAAACTCTCTTTAGACCGGGAAACGCCGGGAGAGAACAAAACTCTCCTTAGAACGGGAAACGCCGGGAGAGAACAAAACTCGGTGCCCTTGCGCTTTACGCAGTCTCTGTGTCCATTGCGCTCGAATGACACATTTCGCTGCCGCAGTAGCGTCGAACCGTGGCGCGCAACGCAATCGCACGTCCAGCGAAGCGGCTCGCGAAATCGGTGCGAATTTTCTTGCCGAGCAGTCAGTGTCAACGGTCGAGCGCCAGCAACGGGAACTCCATTAGGCGGGGCTCTCCCAATAGCGTTTGTGGACCGCCTCCCCCCCCCCCCTCCTACAAACACGAAATCCTGCCGACACCTATGAGTGACGTCATCAAGTGACGATGATTTTTGGCACCACTCGTATTAAAATAGAACTTTTTGTTGGACTAGTCGGTACATGTTTAACGGAAGGAATAAGTAAGGTACAAAAGACACGAGCGCAAGAAGTGATATGGACGAACGCGTTCGTTCATGTCGCTTCTTGTGTTCATCTTACTCGCGCCTCATTGATTCTGTTAAACATTTACCACTCGTGTGGACGCCAATGACCACTTTTCACGTTTGATTAAGCATATAAGGCGTTAGCCTTAATAATTCCATACGCTCGGTTTTCTGCCTTAAAGCTATATTCCTTATACACCCTGCAAAATTGCGGAATGACTGATCCTTTAGCCCTGTTGAGACGTTCAAATACTTTCCACGCATTCCCAGTCCTTTGTGGCGCTGAACGCAACTGTCTGCGACAATAGAAAGCATCATAGCTGAGCCTGCGCACTAAATCTTCCACGACGGTTTTATGTCTTTTGTCCGCGCACGCGAGCACGCGCACACAAAATGGGAGTTGGACCCGGTCGTCCCGTTTACAATGAAGCCCACCAGACGGCTGCCACGGACGTATCATTCTTTTTCGAGAGGGAAAGAGCCACGCCAGCGAGCACAGACAAAATCCGGGCTGCTCGAGAAAGAAGAGGAGGCAGAAGAAGATGGAGGCGAGTGGAGACGACGGGCTCCTCCCTTCCAAGAGCAGCGACCACTATGCAAACAACGTGAATGCAATAATAAAGAGAGAAAGAGACAGACATAGGCGTCGCGAGACTGGGCAGGGCGCCCGATGCGGTGATGGAAAGCGAAAGTGCAAAGTACGACGACCTTGCGCGTGTCTCGTCCATCCAACCCGGTCGCGTTCAGAGAAGTGCGCAGGTTATGGTGGCTCCGCTGGGTGGTGGTCGTGTGGAAAGGGTGCGGCGGTCGATCGACAGGTTTCCTGCGGGCGTCCTTGAAGCGGCACGAGCCTGGGGGTAACCAGTCGCGCGTGGCTCGATTAACGAGTGTTCGCATCGCCCCTGGCCGTCGTTCCTTTGACTGCAGCTGCTGTGCCTGCACCACGGCGTGGCTTGCGCATTCCTCACTCTGTACCGCACCCAGCCATTGCGTAACCGGCATGTTACTTGTTTGAAGAAAGTATTTTTGGTGGCCGGAGAGGGCGGAATGCGTTAGAGCGTGCCGGAAATCACCACAGCCTGCAACGGGTGCTTCTGAACCAACTGGACATCATGAAGGCCGCATGAAGGCGAAAATTTCACAACCACGTCCATGTGTCTCGAACACTGAGGAGGCAACGGAAGCCTTACTGAAGTTCTTGAAGTCAACAGGTCCATTTGTAAATTTCACGCGCTTTCCAAAGCGTGCGCTCCATGTCTGACTCCTGTCCCCGTTTTGACCACCAACCCCCCTTTAATGCCTGTTCTCCAGGGCAGTGTATCTAGCCAGAAGTGCGTTTTGTTAACCTCCTCGCGTTCTTTTGCTTTTTTCTCTCTGTGTCTTCCTTTCAAACGAGACAACAACATATAGTCAACCAGCCTGCTTGATCTCGTCACTTTTACCTACGTATATCACTGTCTAGAACGTTGTCTTTTGCTCCTTTACTTTCTCTTGTAATTGAAGCCTTAATTTTGATGTCACGCGGTAAAATCTACGTCTCTACCAACCTCGGTTCTTTAGATATCGTCCCCACATTATTCCCGCACAAATATTTCAAATGTATGTTGCTTGTCTTGCCCTAGCAATTAGTGCGTCCGTGAGCTTCTGGATACGAGCGCTTCTGTGCGTTTCGCGCGGATCATCGTGCAAGAAACAACCGTTTGCGTGCTTTGTTACGCACAGTAATGAGCTCTCTCTCTCTCTCTCTCTAAGTGATTATCTAAGTGAAAGGAAGACAAAAGTGCTACCCGTAACTGTCGATCACTGGGATGATACCTCAACAGGTCGGCACAAGGGCAGCTGCCTGCCCTTAATCATTATAGGCAAAGATTCTGACTTCCTTTTACAATGCGCCAAGTGTTATCTGGACTTTTTTAGCGCAGTCTCTGTTTTTAGGGAGCCAGCGCGGTCCCAAAATTGCGTTGCCCAATACAAGGCGCCACTGCATTTCCTCAACGCAAGGTATGTTCGAGCGGTATGCCACATGCCGACACTCGGATGCTGCTTTAGAAGTCAACGGCATTTCCCCTTCAAAAGCCAATGAGCGCGAACCTGTACCAATGGGCGCACGCTCTAGACTGACGTCATGAGGCTCATGACTCCGCCGTTCTGTACATGATCATATATTACTTTATTGTTTAGTAGCAGAGGGATTCAGCTGTCGCGTTTCTGTCACCTGGTCAGTTCCTCTCCTGCATTCTTCAATTGTTTCGTATGAAACAATATTCAATCGATGGTATGCTGCCTGGGTGATGGGTGGTGTGGGGTTGAGCGCGCCGCTGCCCTTTCACGTAAGCTACGCCTCCAGTAAGCATCCCGTCTTTTCCCGTCTTTGTTTCTTTAGGTCTCGTTGAGTCACGCTCTTGCATTGACGAACCTGTGGAGTCTCGCAATATCCGCGCTCATGTCACAAAAGGGCGTTGTACAGGTCGTCGTGCAACAATTACACGGGGTGTCTATGAACAACTTTTGCAATATGGCGAACCAGGCTGCCGAATCTTTCAAATAACTACAACAAGACAACTGACCGAGTAGAATATCAAAATAAGTCACACAAGTAGCACAACGCACGTGCGCACACACACACACACACACACACACACACACACGCGCACACACACACACACACACACACACACACACACACACACACACACACACATACTCTCTCTCTCTCTCTCTCTCTCTCTCTCTCGATGCATTACGATTGCCGCGTCACCGGGCTAACCGCGGGAGTCCACGGGACCTAACCGCGGAATCCTCTCGGTGGACCTCCCGCGAGAAAGAACCGCCAACAAGCGCGCCAAACCCCAACACAGATTTCAAAGCTTGTCCTGATTCGCCCGTGTAACCTCTCGTAACCAGGGCGGCGCTGCAGCCGCAACGGCCCCATACCTTGTATGGCGACGAGTACGCAAACTATGCCGAAGGTGTTTCAGCTTTCCTATCTCTCTTATGTCGTCGCTCGCTGTCCTTGCACATCTCTCTCTCTCTCTCTCTCTCTCTCTCTCTCTCTACCTTTAATACTATCCCTTTAATCCCTGCTTACCCCCATCCCTTGTGAGCTACTGTTGAGGTGTCGCACGCTGATGCAGACAGTTACGGGGCTCACTTTTCTCTTCTTTTCCCTCTTAGAACCACAATCAATCAAGGACCCGCGAGTGCCATGGAGCGAGAGCGCCATTACAGCAAGTGTAACCTCCAATGCAGTGCCCACAGCATACACCACTTTTGACCCTACTGTGCATGCTGCTGCGACATACCGTCAATGCAAGATCCTTTCTCGAAGAGCAGCGTGGTGTCCTCTTCGCCGTCGGACGCCGCCGCCCTGTCTTCGGGCTGAGGGCCCGTGGCGCCGCCGCTGTAGCTGTCGTCGGGGCTGAGCAGGCAGAGGCGGCGCGACTGGTCGTACACGAAGCTGCGGCACACGAAGTCCGTGTGGTTGACGCACGCCTCCTGGCACAGCGAGTGCGACGTCGCCTCTTCGTCGACGAACACGTGACCCCGGCTCAGAGAGCGACCGCGTAGGGGACGGAAGTTACACCGCGGTGGCTCTGCGAAAACGTGAAAAGGGAGATTAACGCGGGAGATTCAGCCAGTTCGACATCGTGAAAATCGCCGTAAAGCAAAGCTATATAAAGATCGTGATGGCTTTCGGGACGGTACAAAAAGGTCCCCGAATCAATATAATTTGAATTATATATTCAATAATTCTCTTTTAGAACGGACGCACACCTTTTATTGCGTGACTAAGGCAAGAAGAAATAAGGGGAATTGCCCCCAGATAGCTTTTTTTTTTTTTATTGCCTCCTCTGTTTTAAGGTCAATTTCTTATTGCACGAGGGAAGCGGACATGGTATAGTTTAGCCGAAAGCAGTTGAGAAAGCATAAGCAATTTTCTTGAAAACAGTGACATGGCGTAATTCTTTACATTACTAAATTAACAGCACAAAAAGTATTTGATTGCACAAATCCATACAAAAAATATAATTATTCTAATTTTAATACTGCTAATTTCGTTAGAGACGCCAACTATGGTGGCCAGTATATAGTTATGTTTCTGGGTTGCTGGCTCAAAAGCCGCAGGGTCAAATCCCGGCCGTGATGGCAGCACTTAGGCAACATTCTAGATGCTCGTGTACTTAGGTTAAGTCACTTCAAAAAAAAAAAAAAACAGGTAGTCCAAATTTCCTAAGCCCCCCCCCCCTTTTTTTTTTACTACGGTGACCCTCATAATCATATCGTGGTTATGCGACGCCAAATTCATGCAATTACCATTATGACTTAACATCGATTCCGAATAGGCGTCAAAAGAGAGTTAGAAGCCTGCAAGACTCACCAGAGACGCACTGGTTCTCGCTGTACAGCACGTCCGCCGCGCTGCCGTCTTCGGGCGTCGTCTTGCGGAAGGATTCTGCCGCGGTGCGGCGGTCGTGCCTGCTGAGCACGCAGCGCTGTCTGGCGGGTTCGTAGCGGGTCGAGCGGCACACGAAGCCCGTCTCCGAGGCGCACCTCTGCAGGCAGCCGTCCTGGTCGGCCACCGCGGACACCACCTTGTCCTCGAAACCGACCAGGTGGAACTGCGGCACCCGCTCGAAGGACCAGTGCCTCAGGCAGGGCCGTTCTGCGGTGCGCGTAATCAGAAGGGCGCGCGGTTCTCGGAGTGTTCTCAGAGTGTTCTCAGAGTGTTCTCAGAGCGTTCTCAGAGCGTTCTCAGAGTGTTCTCGGAGTGTTCTCAAAGCGACGCGCCAGAGCCTTGCGTACAATGCAGAACTTCTGGCTCGTCGGCTTATTTGGTGAGGCGCAACTTTGCGCTTAGCCTACAACGTATAAAATTTCAACGTGCATGGCGTGTCTCTGTCCCAGTCGCGACGTTCACATTGAACTCTGGCCCTGTTAATCTAAGCTGAGCTCAATCAGTCTTCTACGTAGTCAAGTGCACGCGTGCCTCGAACACATCTCATGAATAAATAGGTGAAAAATAAATAAATAAAACCGGCCTACTTTATAAATGAAAACACCGCAGAGGAGGGCGTAGGTGCTGAACACTCCGTGTAACCACCACCACCACCACCGCAACAACAACAACAACAACAACAATAATAATAATAATAATAATAATAATAATAATAATAATAATAATAATACATTAAACAATAATAACGCCATAAGTCGATACAAGCTTTGGCGGGACGGGAAACCTGACTTCCTTCACGATTGATATAGCACTTCATACAAAATTACCATCGTTCGTGTCACGGGAAACATGCAAAACAAGAAAGTACAAGATAGAGATTGCTTGTTGCCATGAGATTTGAGCATTGCAAGCGTCTTTCGATGTACTGGCTGAAACATTACGTGCATCGAGAAGTATAGGCCACAGTTGCTTTACTGAGAAGCTGTTGCGACACTTTTGACTGCATCGCGTATACGACGTGCGGAGGCCAGCGAGGCGAGCGCTGATCCTCCGGACGCTCCGACGCTTCTGCTGGGACTAAGGAGGGAAAATGGGAACAGAATACTGAAGGACGTGAGCAAACTTCTACGGAGCTACGAAGCAACAAAAGACCAAGGATACGTGTCACGAAACGTGCTGCTCTGCGCAATACGAAACACGAAAGAACAGAAGAAGGTGTCCTGACGGCGAGATGATCCCACGATGCCAATTCTTCACTGACACCCTAACGCTCGTTCGGAGATGTCGCAATTGCGACATATACAGTGGGATATGACACCGCGTCCCCGCCGCATGGTTTAGCAAAACGTGAGAGAAGAATAAAAGAGCAAATGAAAGAAAGACGCGGCAGTGGAGTGACGTAACACCTTTCCTCCCCAAAACGAGCAATACCCGAATGTTCGGCAACTATATATACCACCACGACGCGGACGGGCATAAGAGAACCGCGAGGAATTTAGCAATGTTAACGGGCGTCGAGTGGGTGGGATAAAGGAGGAGTGTGCAGCACTTGCTACAGATGCGAAACGTTAGCCGAGTACTTTTAACGCGATTGCGTTAAAAAAGCTCGTCTCGCATAAATTCTGGCGTCGGCGTCGTTGGTTGTGAGCGAAAAATCATCGTTTTATGCGTGACCGAAAAAATAAAAAAAATGATGCAAATGAGTAATGAAAATTTCGGGTCTCAGTGGGCATCAAACGCGAGTGGAAGCCGGCAAACCAACACGCCCACATTTTCTCATTTCTATGGACCCCTTCCATTACATTAACTTTCTCAAAAGTCGGTTTAGACTAAATGCGTCGCCAGTTAGAGCAAGTCCATCGTTTAAACAACTGCCTGTTATGTGCTTACCACATTTCTTTCTTCGTAATTAAACATGCGCGTAATTTAGCTCTGGTAGAAGAAGATGACACGCATGTATGGAACGCTTTCAGAGAAAATAAAAGGAAAGAAAGAAAGAAGGAAGGAAACAAAGAAGTGAAACGGCTGCCTAATATTCACTGCCCGGTAGCTTTAGCGCGAGAAGTGAAGAGCCCAAACAGCTGTAGTAACACTTTATAATCCTCCTATAGGGGGATAGAAAAATGAAATGCAGAACAAAAAAGCAAAAGTCCATTAGCGAAACTTCGCGAGCACCACCGGCTCGGATTTTACGCGTGCGTGACGGCCAAGCATCACATTAGCTCACGGGTGAGTGCGAGTGTGAATAAATTAAAGAAAGGACCCACGTGACGGTGAGGGGGAAACTGGAAGCGCGGAAGTTAAAAAGAGCTCGGCGCGTCTTTCAGTAGCCTTATTTATTTTCTTTCTGTCATTTTCTTAAAAAGCTATTCTCTTCAGGGCGTATCCTTCATCTTCACTCGGGCGCCACTGTTGCCGAGGCGAGACGGAGAGGACCACACAAGAAGCCGGTATTCCGAACGAGACGCAAACCAGCGCGGTCTACGAGGGGCTTAGCAAACGAAGGTGGGAAGAAGGGGGCATCTATAATTACCTCGAATGTTTGCTCGAGCCTCCGGCCAACTAGTTAGTTTTCGTACTCTCCAATGAAACCGAGATGAAGCGAAATGAGATAAAAAAGGGAGCGAAAGCGATGGCTTTTCACGCTCCGAGTTCGAAACGCGTCTTTGCAAAGTGCTAATGAGTTCCTTTCGCTCGCGTATCAAACCTGCTATTAGACGCGGCGACTCGCTTCGTCTCTTCTCGCCGGGCTCGCTTCTTTGCTGGCCCCGTCTTCTCTCTTGTTTGAGAAACAAATTTCAACTCGCCAAGTCGAAGTGTAGCGTCCGTCCTCGCGAGGAGCGCTCGATGGTGACGGACGCACTCCACATCGCCTCCGTAGATTTTCTGCTATTTCTGCGGACATCCACCTTGGTACCCCTGAAACTTGGATTTATCGTCACCGCCAAGTTCTCCGCTTCGCCTAGACAACACCTTCGTCCAGGTGGGTCCAGTTTTGACAACTTGAGGGACGTCCTTCACTCCCGGCTACAACGCCGCCTCGCTAAGGGCTCTCAGCCCGGCGATGGCGGCCGCTAACGTGGTTACGGGCTATGATCCTACCTCAAGCCAAATGCTGTCCATGGAGATTTCATCCTCCGAAAACACTATGCCATCAGAAGATGAATACCTCGACGACATGGTGAAACTGTGGCAACGCAAGCAAGCGAAATCGAAGTCTGCGTCTCAACAACAACGAGACGCCACGGCGGGCCACCATTCCCCAGCCTTGCAAGGAACGCCGGCGCGCCATCCCTCCGGCGGTGTGCCTACCTCTGCTCCGTCCTCGCAGCCAGCGAAGCAACGCAAGTGGCGTCCGCGTCAAACTCCTCGCCTCTCTCGCGACGACTACATCGTAGTGCTGAAACCTCGCGTTCCCTGCGAGCTACGCACATTTGTCCCGGCCGATCGCGCGGGCGACGCCATCCGCAGCTACCTCGGCGACCGGACTACCACGCAAATTCAAGTGTGGCCAATCTGGGAACAGAACATCTTGGTCTGTAGCACCACCATTTTGCCTATGGCACAGCGACTCCTCGGGGACTTCCAGCTGCAAGTGGGGGATCAGCAGCTGCCCGTTCGAGGCCACGCCAAGGCACCAGGGGATACATGCAAGGGCGTCATCAATGTAAACCCTGCTGAAAGCCCGGAAAAGATAAAGTCTGAACTGTATTGGCCTCAAGGTACTATCCTTGCGGTCCGCAAACTCGGAGATTCCGCGGCGGCGGTGGTGACTTTCGAGGGCACGAAGTTACCCCGCTTCCTCTTCTACCACTGCGTGGCGACGTATATCCGCGCCTATAAGAAAACGGTCCCTGTATGCACCAAGTGCGGTACCATCGGTCATCGACCACCTCAGTGCCCTCACGCCACTCCAACCCAGTGTGCCAAATGTGGAACCCCCGCACCTGTAGGTCTAGATGCCCACGACTGCCACCCCAAGTGCCTCCTCTGCCATGGCGCCCATGAGACTGGGACCAGTGGCTGCACGGCAAAATACCGAAAATATCGGAAACGCAAGCAGCCCTCAACATCTCCTCGAGGGACCACCTCATGTTCGTCACAGCCAGACAGCAGCACAAACCTGCATCATTCGGCTCCACCACTCCACGCCGACTCTCAAGCATTCCCACCGCTCGAAGCACCAGCGGCGGTACCTCAGGTGAGCAGTTGGGCAGGGAAAGCTGCCTCTAAGCCTCTCTCACCCCCTTCTGTCGATCCTCCTTCTCCCGAACTTGCGGCCCTTCGCCAGCAAGTTGCGGCACTTCAAAAGCAAAATTCTCTTTTAACTAAACAACTCGAACTCTTAAATAAGCGACTTCAACCCCAACAACAGTGTACTGCAAAGCCATCCAGTATTGCCTCCTCTGTCCAGGCGGCTACGCCAGCTATGTCCAAGCTTAGTCCTCGCGCTAAGTCCACTCCCATTAAACCGCCGGTTCAAGCAGCCATGTGTACTCCAGCATTCGGAACCGGTGCTACATCTACTCCAGAAGCTCTTGAGGCTCCTGGGGCACCTCAGGTTCTCTTGCCCGCTAACCAAACTCTCCCTAGCGAAGAGCACACCCCGCGCGTAGAGGAACGCCTCACGCGCGTCGAAGCTTCGATTAATCACCTCCTCACCAGCTTCTCGGTCCAACGCATAGTAGTAGAGGTTACCCAGGCTATTCAAGCCTGGGCAATCACCCAGTTTCAACCCAAGGCATCGCGTTCCCGCTCCTGCTCGGTGAGCAGTGAGGGTACAGCTCCACGGCGTCGTCGTAAGGTGGCTACCACCACCCCGTCGTCGGACAATGCGGCCTCCGTGCCCTTCCCTGCCTCTGAGGATTCCGAGCGGGACATGGAGGACCAAATATAAAACCTAGGACAGTCACGATGGCTACCAATCGTACGTCCCGTTCAAACATTGCGTCTAAATTCGAGATCATACAGTGGAACCCTGGAGGCTTCGGGAACAGGCGAAAGCGTTCACATCTTTCCCTTTTCCTCAGCTCACTTGGCTCTCAGCCGGCCGTCTTGGCGCTCCAAGAATCTGGCCCTGCTCCATCCCTTTCTGGATACTGCTCCTATGTAGGCGGCACCACCACATGCCTCCTCGTGCATAAAGCTTACACGGCTATACAGATCGACCTCGATCTGGATCTTCCTTACGACTACTGCATGATATCAGTGCTGTCTCAGCGGAGGGGCCAACCATCAATACATATCTTAAACGTGTACTGTCCCCCTCGCCTTGCGAGGGCTTCGTTTGCGCATCTCTTCCATCGGGCACTGCGTATAGCGGCCCGACAACCACTGGTGATTGTCGGGGACTTTAATGCCCCCAGCCCTCACTGGGGTTACCACTACGAGAAGGCCCGGGGCAGAGAGCTCAAGGAGCTCATTTCCTCGCTGAGCTTGACGCTTCTTACCGATCCGGCACAACCCACACGTTCCGGCAACTCGGTCACGCGAGACACATGCCCCGACCTCTCCCTCACCCGTCACATCCGCGATGCTACATGGGAAAATTTAGGCGAAAACCTAGGCAGCGATCACTTTTTACTCCGCATTTCGTTCACACCGCGGCAGAAAATGCGCCAACACTGGGGCCAAGCCCGTCTCACCGATTGGACTCAGTTCAGAATGCAACCATTCCCCGCCGGCCTCTCCTCGACCGAATATGCAGCGTGGGCATCGTACGCTCTTCATATGAAACAAGCGAACACTCGCACCCTTGCAACCTCTAATTTGACTCCTGCAATCGATCCACACCTCCTACATCTTTGGCACGCTCGCCGCGGGCTCATAATTCGCTGGAAACGCAACAAACTTAATCGGAAACTTCGCGCTCGCATTGAGGCGCTCACTGCAGAGGCGGCCGCATACTCCGCACAACTTTCCGATGCTAACTGGGCAGACACCTGTTCGAAGGCTGCAAACCAGATGAGCTCTAAGAGTGCGTGGCGACTCTTTAGAAGCCTTCTCGATCCCTCCACCACCAGGGGAGAAACGCAACGCCAGCTCCACCGTGTTCTGCATGCATTTCAGGGCACTACGGATGAACTCGCGCGAGAACTTTGTGACCGCTACATCTGCCGCACAATTGATCCCGCAGGCCCAGCATATACGTATTCCGGCGCCCCTAACACCGGCCTCGACGCCCCATACACGCTTTCTGATTTACGATTTGCACTCACGAAAATGCGACGGGGCACGGCCCCTGGACGCGACGGAATCACAGTATCGCTCCTGGCAAATCTTCCCGACCAAGCACACCTCTCGCTACTCCAGCTTATAAATTCGATATGGGACGGTTCTCCGCTTCCAACGGAATGGACCACATCGGTCGTGACATTCATTCCCAAATCGGCAAAGTCCGTTAGTATTGAGGCACTGAGACCCATCTCACTTACGTCTTGCGCAGGCAAACTCATGGAAACCATGGTTCGCGAACGCCTTTCAGCCTACTTGGAGGCCAGGAGCACCTTTGCCGACACGATGTTTGGCTTTCGCCCGCATCTGTCGGCGCAGGACGTCCTGCTCCAGCTTCAACACGATATCATAGAGCCGACTACTATGCGCCATAACGATAAAGCCGTGCTCGCTCTCGATCTCCGCGGGGCGTTCGACAACGTCAAACACAGCACTATACTCACTAACCTGTCTACCACAAACTGCGGGCAGAAGACTTTCAACTACATTCGCGCCTTTCTATCACATCGCACCGCCTTCATTCGCCTTAATTCTACCGAACACGGCCCGTACTTATTAGGCACGCGGGGTACACCTCAAGGGGCAGTTCTGTCTCCTCTGCTTTTTAACCTGGCGATGATGAACCTCCCCTCTCTTCTAAGCGAGGTCGAGGGAATACAACACGCACTATATGCGGACGATATCACAATCTGGACCAACACCGGCTCCTTAGCGCAAATCGAAGAACGCCTGCAAAAGGCTGCCCTTCTGGTGGACACCTACGCAGGTTCATGCGGCCTGGAGTGCTCTCCAGCTAAATCGGCTCTTCTTTCAGTCTCTCCGCTACCGCCGCCTCAAATTTTTCTTCCGTCCGGGCCCATCCCGTCAGTGCAAAATATTCGGGTTCTTGGCCTTCACCTCACATCGTCCTTGGATCCAAAGGGCACAATAGCAGGCCTCAGACGCACCAGCGAACAGGTGAGCCGCATGATACGGCGAGTTTCTACCAAGCGCGGCGGCCTCCGCGGGTCTCAGTCCCTCCGATTGGCCCACGCGTTTGTGACCAGTCGCGTCCTCTACGCCTTGCCTTACCTTCACCTGCGTCGTCGACACGAGCACCAGCTGGACGTCCTTCTTCGTTCAGTATACAAACGCGCTCTGGACCTACCTATTGCAACTTCCAACAGCCGATTCACGGCTCTGGGGGTACACAACACCTTTGCAGAGATGCGCGAAGCTCATCGCGTTAACCAAATCAATCGACTGTCGCAGACGCCTTCAGGGCGCCGTCTTCTACACAGACTTGGCCTTAACCCGATATCTGACCAAGACCCTCTGCAGCCGGTACCAGAGCTCTGGCGTCAAAAGCTATGGGTGGAACCTCTACCCCGTAATATGAACCCTGACCTCCATCCTGGCCGTAGACTAGCACGCGCCGCGGCCCTTCATACGCGACACTCCGATCGTCCTGGTGTTTTCTACGTGGACGTCTCGGGTCCTTCCCCCTCGGGTCACTTCACGGCTGCCGTGATTACAGAGGGCAAACACGTAGATGGCCTCTCCTTTCGAGCAGACACAGTAACGCACGCTGAAGAGGTTGCCATAGCTTTGGCCGCCTCTAACCCTGCCTCACGCACCATCCTGACGGACTCGCGCTCGGCCTGTTCTCAGTACCTTCAGGGTTCCATTGCTCCGCTGGCGGCTAGCCTACTACAGGCAGCCTCTTGGCGCTTTAACCCTCATCCCATTCGTATAGTCTGGACCCCAGGCCACTCGGGCCTGCCCGGCAACGAGGCGGCAAATGCCGCTGCCCGCGCTTCTCCTGTCCGGGCCGTTGCCCCTCCATGTCCCGAGACGGAATCTGGCAATACCAACCTGACGCGCTTTCGCGAAATTTTGGCTTATTACCGGGCTTCGCGCCGCCTCTACCCGGACCCCGCACGCGGTTTGGAGAAAGCGGACGAACGACTGCTACGCCGCCTGCAGACGAACACCTTTATAAGTCCGGCGGTCGCCAGGCACTTTTTGCCGGAAATCAATGGCACCTGCTCGACCTGTCATGTGCTCGCCGACACATATCACGTCGTAGCATCGTGCCCAGTTAATCCCGTCCCTTTCTCATCCCCTTTTCCTATCCCAACTAGAGAGGCTTGGGAGGAGCACCTGCTCGGCTGCTCTACCTTGGCTGCACAACGCTCCTTGGTGGAGCGCGCACGGGCAGCTTCCAGCTCCACTGGCGTCCCGGAATAGGGTCTTGCCACTCTAGCACGCCGATGGGCCACGTCGGCACTCTCTAGTAAACTTTTTCTGAAATAAATGTTTTTACCACCACCACCGTCCTCGCGAGTCGTTGAACGCTGCTCGTGCTCGATTTTTCTTTTCATATTTACCGTATTTTTTTTTGCTCCGTCATTTTTTTCGCGCCTTGCCTTCAGGACCCTTGAACTTCATGCCCTGTGATTTGCCGAAGTTTTGCGCTCTCGGGGCACAGCCTGACGTACACGGGAGGAATACGCTAAGCGGGACTTTGCTTCCGCTATCCGCGTCGTGGGAAGTGCCAGAGCTCTGTCGGACACTAGGCAGGTTTATAAGGGGGCACGCAGAGGTAGCGTTCATTGAGTACGATACGCCATTTTCGTGGCTCAACGTGAGTACACAAGAGGTTAGCGTATGACGCATGCCCACTGGCAACAAACACAGAGGATTGTTCTTCCCAGTCACAACCACGTGACAATATACAGTATATACAGTATATACCTACAGCATACATTCTGCTCGGTTGGAAGCATAGGTCGCCAAAACCTCTGGAGCTTACTCAATCTCACTCATGAAATATATTTTGCACGGTGAACACACTGCAAATCGCGTAACGAGTGGGTTGTCTAATGCTCCAACCCATTACTAGAGCTTGTTCTTGGTCCCTCATTAGCTCTGACGCATACCCACTTCAGGCATAATAAGCGTTTAGCGGATGCCAAGGTTCTCTGAAGAACGACCAAGAATAGTATAGTGAATGCCACCCGATCCCCCAAAGTGGGTACGTGCCATATATTGAAGGAAAACAGACGAATCCCGGCCAACTATACACAAGAATTGCGATTATATATGGCGTAGTGGGTACCCAGAAAGTGTACTTGTAGCAGTTACCCAATGAGCGCTTAGAAAAGGCTCTGAAAGGCTTCCAGCTTTCGTCATGACTGTGCTGCGCGTTCCGCGTAGGTCTAGAGCTTTTTTTTTTTTTTGGCTGCGTGATAAGATATACTGAGATAGTTATGGCAGGACATGATATGACTAAGCTAATTAAGCCTTGCCGTGATGAGACGGGTAATAAGCCACATCTTAGTCGCGTACTCACCAGGCAGGCAGATCTTCCGGTGGAAGCTCCAGTTCGGATCAGCCAGGAGGTAGTCGGACCTGTTGGCCACGTCAAACCACGTGAGCGCGCACACCTGGCGCACGTGGTTGACGCTGTAGCCGCGACAGCGGTCGTCGTCCAGGCAGCGCAGGTAGCATTCCTCGGCCGTCGAAGGAGGCGCCGGCTGCGTGGGTTCGGGCAGTGTCCGCTGTCCGGCCAGCATGTCGGCCACCTTGTAGCCGGACAGACGCTCGTAAGACACGTGCTCCCTCAGGCACCACGGCACCGCCGACTCAGAAGTGATCGCTCTCGGCGATGCTTCCGCTGTCGTGAACTCGGGCGCGAAAGGCGACGAGGACGACTGGTACGTCGTCGGCGTCGTTGTCGACGTGGTCAACGTTACTGCTGTCTGCGACGCTAGCGTTCTCGTTGTCGTCGGTACATCTGTGCTGGATGCAGCCGTGGTGAGGGTGGTTGTGGGAGTTGGTGTGGCGGTGGTGAATGGCACGTCTTGACCTGCAGGAAGGGTGGTTACGTGTGTGGCGTACTGGCATAATTATTGCATGTGTAGTTACAACCGTAAAAGCAAACACAGAATCCATGCCAATGTAAATGGGTATTGGGGATCTGGGGGGGGGGGGCATTCTTTTAGGGGCGAAGCTCCTTAGGGCGTGGGCTGTGCGTCCCCTGTAGCCTGTATGTAGCCACCTCTAGTTTAGTTCTTGCAGTGTTCACTAGATGGCGGTACCGTCCTCTGTATGTAGCCACCTCTAGTTTAGTTCTTGTAGTGTTTACTAGATGGTGGTACTTGTAGCTGATGATGAAAAGATGCAAGATGTTATAAACTAGAAAGCGGTACTTGTAGTTGATGAAAGACGCGAGATCTTATAAAATAGGAATGATGTCACATATGGCGCGTGTCATTGGTTGAAGGCAATCGTTCGATTTAGTGCGGCGACGTACGCTAGGGGGAGCGTTGTAATAAAATCCGTTCGCTGTTGGCGCGCGCTCGGAGTCGCCGGATGGATAAGGCTGCACAGCGGAGAGAGCGCAAGGCGGCAGCAGCGCGCGCTCGCAGACAGAATCCCGATGTGCGAGCGCGCGAGGCAAGGGACATCGCAAGCCATCCATCGTCTAAGAACAAATAAAAGTTGATTTGTGTATATACACACACAGCGTTTCTCACGTCTTTACATGATGATCGACTGGGCGAATTACACGGAAGATTCACAGTTTACCGATGAATCCCTCCGGAGCTTCACCCATTCATCATCATTCACCCCGTGAATATGCCGTAATTTTTTTCTAGTTAGGGTGAAGAGTGCGTTTCTGCTGTTGCAGTGCCAGTTAGAGCCCCAGTAGTGCACACCCGAATGTACCATTGCTAATGTTTAGGAGACCTAATGCTCACTTTCTGGAGGCAGACGTTTCAAGCTCTCTACACACAAATGAAAAGATGAAGCAGTTCGGGCGTATACACATATACTTTTTCATTCCTATAGAGTTCAATTCCAACGGCGAAAACTTTCGGAATACCTTTGTGAATAACCTCGGTTAAACATAATCATCAACTAATAACTACTGAACTCGGAACTCTTCGAATTCTACCTCTGTGCCCGTGGGAGCAACGTGGAGTTCAGTTTATTCATCGTTGAAACTCTTCGCGCCTTGCATCTGCCTCATCATTCCTAATCTGGCATGAAAGAAAGGGACGCACACCGCCAAAGGTAGAGATTAGGTCTATTTTGAGGTTGTATACTTTGTACTGTAATGGGTCGCGTTGCAAGGTTTATTTAGCAGACACGCCTGCAAGAAGTCGGCTTTATCAACGCCGTTATTAGGCTAAATTGAATGCGACAGGGAAGTCATATTTCAAGTAAGTGCACCCGTGATTCAACATCGAGATTAATGCGACAGAGTGAAAACCTAGAGAGTGTTCAGTTGAGGGAAATAGCTTTCTGTCAGGCCGTGCACCAATTCGACACGACAGATGCGACTGGAATGAATTCCAGTCGCGTATGTCGTTTCTGTTTGTTTTGTCTGTCGTGTCTGGTGTCTGTGCAAACATGGACCACACAAAGAAGTTAAGACGCGACAAACGCGTTTTTCCGCTCTCTGTTATTGTAAGCGACTAGAATCGTACGCGTCGCGTTATAAGCGGAAATAGCGAAGTTCATTTCTCACTCACCAGTGGTCGCTGTCGTCAAGACATCGAGCAGCAGGAACATCAGGACGGGTAATCGCGACATCTCTAACCTTGTCATCATTCCTGCAAAGATAAGAAATGGAAGGAGTATGTATAAGATGGTCTCGCTTATGATAAATATTTGCGCATATAGGAAAAAATGGACCACATTGTAACTAGCTATGCAAATCTTTTGCCCATAATATTGGGACTGATACTTTCCCCATCAATATATATGCGTGTTGTACGTGCAGACTGAAAGTATTATAACGTACTCCTTCATAGGGATACCGAAAAGTTCATACGCTGAAATTTTCTATGGGATACATTTGCACTACTCAAATGAAGGGTTGTAGCTGTATTCTCAGTTCTGTTTCTTTCTGAATTCTGGTTGTCATAAGTAGCTTCGCAACTGGTTATTGAAAAAAAAATCAATGACTGAATTTCATATCTGTCTTTCAATCACAGAACAAGATAGCCAAGAAAATTTCGGTTATGCACCCATAAGCTTACTCATTATCGTTTTGTCATGTTGTTACACGTTCTCTCTTTCACTGAACGGAATTCATCTCAACGTTGCGATAAGCAAACCGCCCAGGGAGTGGCTTGATAACTGAATTACACGGAAACGCGGAAGTCAAAGTTCAAATGTTCGAGAGAAAAACAACGTCAGCTCGAGTGAAGCGTCAACGGCTGAGTGAACTCCACGTATTGCAGTCGTTCGCCATCGAATACAAGCAGCGAGCAAAAGTGAAATCGAGTGCCTGCTCCACAATTCAACTCCCACGTGGCCTGCGAGCTCGCGAGCACGGAAGTGCGAATGCGCAAGCGAAGCGTTTCCCGACCAGCAACCGCTTCCTAGCACCGCACCAAAAGCGTGCGGAAAAGCGTCACCGCATGGCAGTTGCGTGCAAGGCGGCGAAGTACTAAAGCCACGCGCATTTGAGTAGTGTAAATGTATCGCAAGTAAGATTTCAATGCGCACGTTAGTTCCAGTGCCAAGTGAGAGCTTATGAAACGAAAAAATGAAGTGCAGCATTTCACCGCACTGCGTTCGAATGTACGTGCAGTGACGTTGAAATAAAACTAAACCAAAAATTATGTATTTTGCACAGTACGATTGCAACGTGAAGAACGTATCGTACGAGGACCCTCTCTACTTTATAATGAACACAAGTGGCCAATTGAGCCTAGAAATAAAAAAAAAGTCCAAGCTGACAACAACAACAACGATAACGACGACAACGACAACTGGAAACAGTACTTAATAACAGAGAAAAGAATAAAACATTAGTGGAGCGCCTATTACCTTCGCATATCTTTTTTTTTTCATGCAACGCTCCCACACTCGAGACGTAACGTTTCTTCCGGTGTGTCTACCAACCACTTCCGGTAAAAGTGAGTGATGTCCGGAACGTTGACGATCGTTTCGCACTTTTCCTCAGAGGCCTTCCTAAGCTAGATTCTAACCGGAAGTGATGTAAAAGAGCGGAAGCGAATGTATGATCGGACATTCATACAGGGAAGTCAATCGCATTCTACAGCAGCATCACGGAGACGGATAGCCTGAGAGATTCGTCATAAAAATAATTAACTTAACTTTAAATCTGCCAAGTACATGGTATTGCACTATTGCCCCGGTTTGCTCGTTTGAATCGATCACTTGGTGACGCACAACCCGAACAAAGTCTTATGATAGTGCACACATTCTTTTCAGTTGATTCGAGCGGTAGCTACCTATTGCAGTTGGGGGGGGGGGGGGGTTATTGAGGGGGGCATAATTGGAAATGGAGAAACAAGGAGCGATTACGTAGGCAGTGAGGTTAACAGGATGGTGGTATCATCTATGCTACCCTGCACTGTAGTGGAGAAATGGACGATAAGAAAAAATGAGATATAGACAGCGATAAAAGCCAATTAAGAAAAAAAAAATGGCCGAAGACAATGTGATGCTGCAAAATATTGTTGCTTAATGTTGCCACAGGCTGATCCCTCTTGGCCGTACGGGAATTTTCGGAGGCAGTAAGTGCTAATTACAAGACGCATCTCAATTGTGCAGTGTTTCATAATTATCTTTCATGTAATAAAGGGGGGGAGAACTGAAATGAGGTGGAAGAATCGGATGCTTTCATGACCTTTATTTCTCTCGCTCTAACTTTATGTTTTAAGTTTAGTCCTATCGCAATAGAAAACATACAACATTCATTTATCGATGAGGTGGTTGAATTTATCAAGTGGTATCAAGTTAATGTCACACCTCTGACTAGTCGTCCTCAACGCATTCTAGAAAACAAATGCGCTCCTGCAACGACCGTTGCAACCTAGTAAATGCCAACGTCACTAAATGGAAGACCGCCGTAGTGCTGAACCCAATCACTCTGAAGAAGAACAACTATACATTTTCTTCATTCACGCCTTAGCAACAGCGCGAACTTTTTAGACTTCCCGCCGGCAAGTACGACGCCCCTGTAGTGCACAGCTGATGTGTTCTACCATTGCACGAAACTGCGTCTCGTTTTCAAAGAAACCGTTTCGCAGCCAACTGGGACTTGGTCCTGCTCGGTCTTGTTCGCGCTTCGCAGCGTCTTAAGGGGGAAAAGAAAGCCGTACACCTCGTACGTTGCATGGAGTGCAGAGCTCTCGGGTAATGAAGAGGCGCGAGGATTCAAGCCGTGCTATTGCCGACATTTCAAACAAGTGTACAAGAATATGCAAATGAGGGCTGGCACTGTAAACGAAGAACGCTTTACTCCGGAAACGACCGTTTTACAAGAACTGCTTCACGCTGGATTTGTTTCCTAGACACACTGAAAAGGAAGCGAGTTGGTTTGGATCCGTGGTGTACAGAAAACACAGACATCGGTGCAGCTATGTATAAGTGCACAAGAAGGGCGTCACAACTATAAAACAAAAATAACGCAAAAAAAAACGGTTTAGTGTATTGCTGCTCGTTCTGCTGGTCTATGTGTTTATAACGCCCGTCATTCCCAAAATCGAATCTGATACTTTTTGTTTGGGAAGGAATAACATTTCTTCAACCAGTAAACACGGTAAACAACTTTCCGAACGGTCTAAACCGTTTACGAAGTCTGTGTAGCAAACGGTGCCAAGTAGGTAAACGACTTTGTGCATACGTTCGACTATATAGTTTGACTTTGAAGCTCAGCCGACTTTAATTTCTTTCTCTTCCTTCTTGCACGCGCGTCGTCATAGCAACAGACATGGTCAGTGTTGGTTCTCCTCTCCCGTGCACACCTCTTCGTCGGTCATGAGCAAACCAAAATCGGCTTTCGTCCCAACATTCTAAACTACACTATGCTCAAGGCCTCGATCGGTTGAATACGATGCAAAAGAACTTTCTCTCTGAAGTGAAGTTTTCGGGAATTAAAGCTCCTGCAAACATATTCCGAGTCGTATGGCTCGTTCAGCTGCTGCTGCGGGAACGTCCCTGAGGCAAGTTCTTGCTCGAAGAACCATTCGTCTGATGAATTGTTGCTGAGCGAGCACTTCCTCCCTCTTCCCCCACCACAATCGATACCACCTCGATTGCTCGACTGTTACTAACGCCAGAGTTTCGCGCGAGGCTCTGGTGAGGTTGTTTGCCAAATAAAGTGACGGTGCCCCGGTAAACATTCCTCGGAGATCCCTCGACTCGGTTTCCTGTAGGAAGACCTGGTAAACCAACAATGTTGAAAGCGTTCTGCTCAGGGTACACAAAGGTGCGCTTCCTCCGACGGAATACCTGCGCGCAGGCAATCAATCCACGAAAGTACGAGCAGGATCCAAGCGAGCGCGAATCAGGAAGCTCAATCTCCGGCCATGTCAGTGGTGTACTCTGTACGAAAGCCGGGAGCGAGACAGAGAACGAGGAAGAATATAAATACTAAGCCAAAACCGCGGAAAGGAGCTCGCTTGAGCGAGAACAGACGCAGCGACAGGGCGGGGTTAATCCGGTGGTGTCCGTCACACCCCTGTTTGCATTTCCAGTCGTCGATCTGCAGCGAGTCAAGTCAACACGGCAGGCGAAGAGACTTCCTCGACTCCATCAGGCGCTCCTGTAACGCGCTTGCAATGACGAGGCTGCGCACACACGCACGCAGGTATGCACGAACGCGAGCACACACACAGGCACGCATAAACACACACGCGCGCCCACATGCGAGATCGTATATGTGCATCGTCGAAATCAGCTACATATATGCTCACCCTAGTCGATGCAGGGATGCCCGTACGATGCACGAACACACAAACTGAGAAAAGCACTAACGCACGCACAGAAAAAGCACGTACACATATTTGCCAAAGCATATGCATAGAAACGGGTACAGATGCACGCGTGCACGGACAGGTGAGAAAGCAAACGCACACATCGCTCACACAAGCGAACTTCTTCGACAGACATGAAATGAAGTACGCAAGCGTGCGCAAAAGTGCAACCCGCGGACAGGCGAGAATTCGGGCATAACAAACGTACACACACGCATGTGCAGTACAAAACACGCACAGAAAACACACACACACACACACACACACACACACACTATCTCTCGCGCGGGTGCGCACACACGTGGATCTGTGTGCGGAGTGATCCCGTTGCAGCTTACGCTCAGCGATCTCTTGTGTGCGGCGACAGACATCGAGAACGAGCGTTCACTTTGACTTCTCGGCCGTTCATTGCACTCCGGAGGGTGCGGCTTTCCGACCACTCGGAGGAGAGGCCCACGCCCCGCCGGCAGAGACAAAACTAGTTTGATCCGCACACGCGAACCACACCTTGCCTTCGGGAAGTACGGAGCATGACTTTTGTGTATCTTCTCATTTGACTCGAGGCCTCAGATACCCTTTGACTTCGGACTCTTCGGGAGCATTGAGAGGAACAACCTTCTCGGAGGCGTTTCAAATGGCCTCGCGAAACGTGGCCCCTTTACAAACGTGGTCTGTGCTGTCGGGTGGGATTACTCGGCTATTGGACTTCACAGTCGCGCTTTGAGCAGCGAGACCTGGCGAAAGCCTGCCGACAGATTCGGTGTGGGTGCTCATGTTGCATGTAAGCAAGAAGCTTCCGACGTTGCTTCCACTTCATT